CAGGAGCTGTGCCTGAATACCTTGTCTCCATGACAAGGAACTGGCACTCTAGGCAATAGGGCAAGGTCTTGAAGGGCAGAAGTACTAAGGTTGGCTTTAATGCTTCAATATATCAGCATGAGTGTCTCTGAACTGTGTCTTTGTGGTCTCATTTTTTTCTATTGTGCAGAGTTTATTAGGTATGAACACCAGGACTGTGATGAATGATGATTTTAAGGGGATTATAGTTGAGCTATAGCACCCAAACATGTGCCATGCAGAAACAGTGCAGACTGTAAAATCTGCGGAGACTGGACACCCCTGGGTCTGGTAGGGGTGGCTTGGATAGTAAATTCTGTAGGGTGTTAGACAGAGAGGACTGGGTACCTTATCTGTACTATCTTAGAGTTGTCAAATATGAGTTCTGCATGAGAGCCCTATCTGCCCACTTGGTAAGGAAGGAAGGATCTGAAGTTTAAAGAGAGGCGAGCAATCTCCAGGGTTCCTAGGCTTGTCCACACTTTGGAATCACGTAGATTCTTAATAAATTGTAGATGACTGGCTTCAACCTCATATATGACCACAGTATTAGGAGCTTTTCTAATTTAATAAATGATTTTAATATAGAGCAAGCTAAAACATTAGGATATATATTATATATACATATATATTACATATATATGTAATAACAAAGAAATCAAGGCCATGAATTTGAGATAGAAGAGGGGGTTACATGGTTGAGAAAAAATTAAAGGGGATGAAAATGATGTAATTATATTTTAATTTAAAAAATGTAGGCTGGGCAGTGGTGGTGCACACCTTTAATTCCAGCATTCAGGAGGCAGACACAGGTAGATGACTGAGTTCAAGATCAGCCTTTTCTACAGAGTAAGTTCCAGGACAGCCAGAGCTACACAAAAAGACCCGATCTCAAAAAACAAAAACAAAAAACCCAACAACAACCACCAACCAACCAACCAAAGATCCAAACAATACTTAATCCAACTCTGAAGAATTCTAGCTTTTGATCACTTAACATGGCTTAAAGGGGGTCATGTGTAGACAAACCTTGAAAGATGGACATCTTTGGTGAATAGAAAAGAATAAAGGACTGTCTAAAAGTGTATGTTCATTGCCCAAGTAATTGAAGATAGGTGACAGAGATCCTGAAACCCTTGAATTCAGTAATAAGCAAACATACAGTCGGTCAGACATTCCCTAGGACTGTGTTAATAAGAGCCATCATTTGTATGAGTTTGGAGCTATATTTATTATCAACTAGATTTGATTTAGAATCATCTAGGAGACAGACATGCTTCTGAGTGTGCACATGTGGGTGTTCAGAGACTTACTAAAGAAAAAAGTCTTCGAGAGTGTGGTAGATACCATCTCATAGGCTAAGGGAGAGGTAGAGTAGAAAAGGAGAAAGTGAGCTATGGACCAGCATCCACCTCCTTATGCTTCTAGGCCCGTGAGTTCGGACAAGCCTCACACTTCTCTTCGTACAGCCATAAGCCTTATCTAAAACATTAAGCTTAGTGTGTCATCTTAGTGTGAGCTGAAATAAATGCTTCATCCCTTAAGTTGCTTCTTTGGGAGTATTTGGTCCCAGTAAGGAGAAGAGTAACTTAGAAATTTCTGACAAGGCTCTTTGAGCTAAGGAAGCCCTGTTATAAGTCCTATTTCACAGGTGAGGAACCTAAGGCCCAGAAATACCATAATCTGGACGTATCTAGTTGTAACAGCTCGCTCTTGAATTGTATTTAAGCAACCAGCTATGCTGTGAATCCTCAGCCCTTCCCTCAGTGTTTGTGAGCAGAGATGGGCAGATCTAGGCTCAGAATCACAGGACAAAGGATTGAGGCTGAACATGGAGAGGAATTTCCAAAAGAAATTTAAAAATAGACTCTTAAGTGTCTTAGTGCACTTGAGCTGTTACTTAGAACATGGTGATTTATAAACAACAGAAACTTATTTCTCACTGTTTTGGGGGCTGAGATGTTCAAGACCACAGTACTAGAATGGCCTGCTTCAGAAGAGGACTGACTTTCATGTGATATAACATTGAGTTCTTTTCATGCCCTTACATGGTGGCAGAAGAAACAAGCCCCCTTGGTCTTATATAATCAAAGGTTTATCATGAATTAGAATTCAGGATTAGATCTGCCCTCATGAGCTAATCCTTTTCCAAAGCCTATTATCTAATTATTATCTATTATATTATCTATTATCTAATGCCATGTCCTTGGGATTTAGGTTTTTAGTGTATGAATTGGGGATGAGGGTCACAAACCTCAGACTATAACACTAAGGAAAGTATAATATTTAGGACACTGGAGAGAGACTACTGCACGAATAATTTGTAAAATACTATTTTCAAAGATTGTTTAATGACAAAGGAAAGTATATTATTTATTTATAAGATTATATATTCATGTGTGTATATAAATAAAATATATATATATATATACATGTATTGAGGTAGAAAATTACAACAACAAAATATATAAGATTTATTTCTAGGTGATGTGACTTGGGGATAGCTTGACTAAAAATAATGTTATTAATTATAATGGAAAAGAAAACTTAAGTTTTCGTATCTGTAGCCTTCAGATTTTGTGGAGAACTGGAACACTGAAACCTGACCTAGTGACCACTACAGTAGAGGATATACCTCTGTTCTTTAGTGTTTGTGTTTGGAGAGCAAAGAGAGCCATCCACAGAACTCTAAAACATTAAGTCTAGTGTAACCATGGGCAATGCCCAAAAACATATTCTGAGACAGTGACTGCTTTAGGTAGCTTCAGGAATTGTGCCACAGCACACAGCACTTTTTGTCTAGGAACTCATAAGCTGGGATGGAGGGTTGTCATAGCTTTTAAGTACTGTTTCAAAACCCTACTTGCAACATGTTTGGAACTTCAGTCTCACTGGATAGTAGGAATGATGGATATTGGGAACAAATGATATCTCTACCATTCAAACACTGGATTGTACCTCTTGGGTGTCCAGATTCTTCATGTAGCATTGCTGAAACACCAAAGTGATGCTGTCAACTATCACTGGTTAAAAGTTGTTTTGGTTGGGTTATTATTAAGCTAGCTAGCTACCATCTGCCACAAGTAGATTAGTGGCAGAAGAACTAACAACTTGCAAACCTAGTTAAGTCTGATATTTCTGGGTAGGTCTACAGATTTAGACATTTCAGCTTCAATTAATAAGAATGAATAAGAATCACAGCAATATCCATCTTCCCTGGAATAGAATAAATTGTATGTTTGAAGTAAAGAACATTCATAACAGGAAATGGGCTCTATAGGACACAGGTTATCTTACGTGGAGAGCCAGGTACTCTCTGATTTCATCTTTGGAATGAATGCACTGTGGCAGTTTTTAAAAAGCTTTATTTTTATTTAATTAAATATATGTATGTGTTTGCATGCGTGCAGGTATATGTACACAAGTTCACGTGCTGATAGAGGCCAGAGGTGTATGGAGTTATAGGCAGTTGGGAGGTGCCTGAAGTGGATGCTCAAAACTGAACTGGGGTCCTCAGCAAGAGCAGTGCATGTTCTCAACTACTGTGCCATTTTTTGAGCATGTGATAGCTTTTTGAAATGTTGCTATATAATTTGAAATCTAGGAAGAAATAGGCTTCTTTTGATATGTTGCTTTCAAAAGGGCTCCTAGTCATATTTGTTGATCTTCATGTGAAACTGAAAACATTAATTGCCCTTTAGATTTTATGCATTTGCAAATACTAGTCTATAGTTAAACATATATGAGTCTATGAATTTTGTAGATTATCCTTTATATTCTGTGCTTTTAAAAGTTTTTAGTTTTAGATTTGATTTACAAGGTCATTAAGTTTCCCCTTTTTATCAGGGCAAAATGGAGGGTGTTCTGAACCTTAAAAGCATGTAATTTACCTTGGACAAGAACTTTAATGCTTATTCTGAATGAAGTCCATGTAAAACTGCAGAAATTGTGTAGAAAGTCTATGAATTGGGACGTAACATGTCATTGACACGTTATGAAGGGCTTTCTGCTGACTTTAGTGATGGATGAGTACATGCTGCCAAGTTCAGCTGGAGGGAGAGTCTTAGAAATCCACACATCGGGTCTGGAATCTAGAAACTTCCTGGTGCATGATTTTTGAATCAGCAGGGTGCATGTAGACTGTATCTGCACAGGGAATGACATTTTCCCAGCTTTATTCATGGAAGTTTCTGGAACATGACCATAAACACCAAGTCTCTTTGTTGTGTGTTGGATTTAAAAGCCCCCAATGGTATGGAGAAGGTTAGGCCTTGTCTCAAAGATCCTTGGTTCAATTTGGGGGGACCTGGCTGAAAACTCTAGATATTTGATAGTCTGGCTTATTTCTATGGTGTATTAGCACTCTATAAAAGTTACATGTCATTTATTTCAAGTTTAGAACCCTCTCAAACTTCAGGGGCAAACCATACGTGAATCCTTTGTGGGCAGAATTCTGTTTACCTTTGACCAAACCCTGCTTCCTGATTGTAAGTCAGGGAAGTAAGGTGAGAAAGGCTCCCAAGGCTCTGTGGACATCAAATACCTTTGGCCAAACAAGATTTTGATAGGTTAAAACATGAGTGAATTTGAAACACTTGATTAGCTTTTTGTCAGTGTACTCTGAGGCCTAAATACAAGTAGATGGTGCCAGCCAAAGTGTATCCAAGTCTTACTTTCCTCCAGCCAGGAGGGGGTAACTGAGATTATTAACCACACGTTGAAACTGGGTCAAGCACCCCCTTCTAATAGACATATTAAATAGTTTCTATAAAGATCATTTGGTCAATCCAGTTGAATAGACCTTGGGGAGTTGGGGGATTTCTTGTATTTGAAAGCTTCTTTTTCCACTAGACGGACAACAAATGAGCTCTATTTGTGTGTAGTTGCAGAAGTCCAGATGTCCCTCTGTGTCTCTCAGAACAAGATGTTCCTTGGGTCTGAGTAAAGGAGAGATGACATGTGACCTTCTGCATGCCTTTCAGATTGAGGAGCTGATGAATGCCTTGGAGAAGACCAGGCAGGAACTGGATGCCACCAAAGCACGCCTTGCCTCTACCCAGCAATCTCTGGCTGAAAAAGAAGCACACCTGGCCAACCTCCGTATTGAGAGGAGGAAACAGCTAGAGGAGATCTTGGAGATGAAGTGAGTACTCAGTTTTGCTCCCCTGGTTCTCTGTTACCTCACTTTGATGGTAGAAAACCAGAGGGGCTGGAAACAAGAAGAAAAACCCAGAGAAAATGGGTGATTTTTGAGCTATTACTAATTTCTTTTTTAAAAAAAATATTACTGCCTAGTGGCTCATTGTGCATCTTTTCAGCATCTCTCACGTTGAGACTATACAGCCAGCATTGAAGTGAGTGTGTCTGTATTCTCTGAATTACACTGCATTCACAGACCTGTTGCCGAGGTCTGAGGCAAGAGAGACTGAGGCTTTGTTAAGCACAGTAGTAATCTGAGTGCTGCTTACAGTTGGTGGGAGCTTTGCTGAGAAACTATGACTTTGCTGATTGCTATCTTCAGTCTTCTTCAGTGCCTGGCTTGTACTGGTTTTCATAGTGTCATGGAAACAGAACTCAGATTTGGTAGATTGATAAAATGAAGGCTGAAGTTTCCTTTCCCAGCACACATTGGTTCAGATGGAAGGGGACTGGTAAGTAAAAGGAGATATTTCCTTACTTTCTATCCTTTAGTTAAGAAAGTGGGTTTGGTGCTTGAAAGCAGTCCTTTCTGTGGCCATGTGACACATCCACCTACAGCTACCTAGCTCCGGTTTTCCTTTCCCAGTGAAAGATCATCATGGAGGAAAATAGGAAGGACAATTATTAAATGATTTGAATAATAATTGCAATGGATTTGTTCCTAATGAACTAGTCAAGAAATAGCATTTCTATAAATACTTAAATTAAACAATCAGTAAGATATAATTTAAATCCTGCTCCCTCCCATAATAAGGGGAAGTGTACATAATTGTGGCATCGTAAGCCAGTAACACAGACTTTGAAATTGGTGGCTAGGTATGGAAGAGTGACCTCATGGTGACCCAGAAAGTCTTACACATGGTTAACATTAAACCGAGAAAGCTTAGATCATGGAAAATATGGAATGAAATATTTTGAAGGGTTTAATAAATGAGAATAAAACTTTTATGTCTCTTCAACTACCTCAGTTTCTCCAAGACCAAAGAACGAGTAAAGTTTTTTTTTCACATATAAACTAGCATTTTGTCTAATAAAAGATGATATAATAAAAACAGATATTATTATACCCCATTTAGAAGCCAGGGAATTGAGACTCCGAGAGATTCAAATAATTTGCTTAAGGCCACCTGGCCAGGATTAAAACAAAGTCTTCTATTTCAGGCTCCCTTTCTACCTCATTCTCCCATGGAACCTTGTGTGGATTTTATCAGGTCTGGAACTTCTGTCTGCCTGAGTCTCTGCTGAAATCTTGTTGCCATTTGCAGAGCTGGGCATATAGCAGGTGCTTTCTGACTGTTGGGCAGACAAAGTGGTGAAGACTGAGTCTTGTGTAGCCAAGACGGCAAGCATTTCAAGCATCCGTGGCATCTGTGTGCTCAGTAGTGTGGTAACAATGGTGACCGCACTAACGTTGTAACCACACAAATGTGTTTGATCCACTGGCCACAGATGCTTTCCACTTCTGTCTCCTGTGTACTAATGAACAGTCAGACAGCTTTGTTGTTCTCCCACAAGGCTCCCATGTTAACTCTACATCTGTCATGATACAGTGTGCCATTATAAGAGCTTTTTGAATCTTGTTTATAAAACGAGCATGTACTTTCATAATTTTTGAGAAAAGGAGTAGGAATGGACTATACAAGTTTAAAAATCACCACATCCTATTCTACCTGGTAACTATGTCAGGGAGCTGCCTTTAGCCTTCCGCCCCCTCCCCCCCACTTCCTCTTCTAACAATGTGCAAGTGAGTAATTGTGAGCAGAGCACATGGCACGTAGAAAATGATACATGTCTACATGTCACTGTTGCCCAGTGAACAGCATGTCATATGTTTAAGGTACTTTGTGAGAAGTACCATTTATCTAAAATTGGATTTATTTTTCTAAAACATAGAAACCATTTCCACATGTATGTTTTCCCACTGAATTTCGTGATTTCAGATAGTACCTCACTAAGGCCTCTTTGGTGAATTGCCACATTATTTTGGAAGTGTTTAATCTGCTGCCACTGTAAAATAAAGACAGAATTCTTCTGTTAATTCTGTTGGTGAAAGAAACAAAGTCCTTCTTCATTAAGACTGATTTGAACCTAATTCATTATTTAGCTCACCCAGAAGAAGACCAACTTACAGATCTCATCCGTGAGGTTAAGGAGACCTAGGTATGGGACAAGCATACTGACTGAGGCTCCCAACTAGATCCAGCAGGCTTTATAGCTGCTCAAGCCAAACAGCTGGTTTTATCTATCATGATTTTTAAGCTGATAATTGATACATTGCTACACGGCATTGACCGATCCCTGTTAAAGTTGCAGAGACCAATCAGATACATTACCGTTGTTGATGCTTGTTGCTCAGTCTATGCTAAGACTTGGGTTTTCGTCCAACTGGTACTTATATTTAACCCTGTAAGAAGAGAGTCACCATGTAGCCCTAGAGGGGATAAGGTTAGGGCACTGAAAGAGGATAAAGACATTCTTTTCTCACACCAGGACATGAAAGGCTTTCTTTCTGGCTGCCTCCATTTTCTTTTCATTAACATGGAGGGAGTGATGCCTGCCCAGCCTGCTTTATGGAAATGTGCTAAGGTCAGGATAAAGAGAAAGTAACTGGGTGAAGACTAATATAAAACGGCATATGTGAAAGTACTTTGAAATCTAACATTGAGCTTTTAAAACTGAGAGGTGTGCCTGTCAAACTCATTGCAAAACCAAATGGTATGTTGTCTTAGGATTGGAAGAGAGCTGGATCAAGTCTCCCAGCTTGTATAAGCAGACTCCTGTCCACACAATTGCCAATGAAGAATTCACCAGCTCTGGGTCACACCATTCTCGTTCACAGCCATGGCCTCAGAAGGCAGCAGGTTCCATCTATCTATCTATCTATCTATCTATCTATCTATCTATCTATCTATCTATCTATCTATCTATCTATCTATCTATCACTATCTATCTTCTATCTATCTATCTATCTATCTATCTGTCTGTCTGTCTGTCTGTCTGTCTATCTATCTATCTACACACACATACATGTATATAATACTTATCTGCATGTCAACCATAGAAGAGATGGCCATTTACATATTTGCTAAGTATTATTGTTCATTTTAGAGGAAAATAAAAGGAAACATAAAGAAGCACCATGAGTCATAAATCACCCATGACTTTAATGTAGACAGTCACTGAGGCCATTCTGCTGTATATCTCTACAAATGTGCCGCCTTTTTCTTTCAGGAAATTTAGATCATCCTTTATATTTTATAAATCACATTTCTTTTGCTTTCTGAATGTGAATACTTTCTACATCACAAAGATAGAATCATGCTATTTTGAATCACTCAATGTATTGAAATATAGTTTTACTGATTTATTTTGGTCCCAATGATTTGCTAATATACAGAAAACTTTGATAAGAGACCTGCCATTTGCTTTTATTTATGTATTTTGGAGGGTAATAAAGACTGACATGAAGCTGTAAGCAACAACAGGAACAAACAGGATAGATTGGCTTCTTGTCATCTCAACCATTTAGTCACTGATAAAAATCTTTCAGATTGGCGTAAAGACTGACCGACAAGATGACAAAGACTGACTGACCTAGCTTTAGTTGCACTGGTTTGTTGCATGTTTTGGAATATTCTCATATGCATACATCTCTACAACAGCTACCACAGTGAAGACTCATGAGTGTTCCGCTGCCACAGGGGACACTGGTTCTACCTTTGGTAGCCAATTACTCTGACTATTTCACATTTTGTACAGGTGTGTCTGTGTGTGTGTGTGTGTGTGTGCATGCACACATGTGTGTCCACACATGTATGGAGAGATTCTCTGGGGCTGGAGTTACTGGCAATTGGGAGCCACCTGGCCTGAAATCTGGGATCAGAACTCTGGAAGAGAAGGAAACCCTCTTAATGGCGGAGTTATTTCTCCAGTTCCCAGTTATTTCTTTTTAAGTGGAATTTTTGTATGTGTATGTATGTTATATCATCTTGAGACATATCACACTGACCCGTGTTTTCCCCTATGTTCTACTTTGGTGGGTAGAATCTGTTCTCTTACATTTAGAACAAAATTAGAAGGAAAAATTCTGTCTGGTTCTTCTAACTGAAAGATTTCTCATGCTGTAATTTTACAATAAGAGTTTCTTTTAAGACAATGTATTAGGAACCAATAAGCATTTGTGGAATCAAAGGGCAAATTGGTTAAAAAAACAAGCAAAAAGACAACACAGCTTCTTACTGAGCCTTGATTACAGGGTAGGTGGTAACCTGGTGGACACAGGAATGCTGCCTGCCCTTGTCATGCTTATACTCTTAGTCAAGTGAGTGAAGGAAAGAATGAATAAAAGTAGTTTATTATGTGACTTTAAAGATGCTTGGTAGCTCACTTACAAAGTCATTTCCAAATGTAAGGACATGATTGGTTATTTGGGACACAGAGTCAGGGAACAATGTTGTGTACCTCCCCATTTTCTAGAATTTCACAAGAAGTGAGAATATGCTCATTAGAAGGGAGAAGAGCCCTGGATTTATTTCATATCATGTTCTTCCCCAACACTCCTTCAGTTTGATTTTTCTTGGTTTGTATCCTAACTACTGGTCATCATTCTGATACTGATACTGAGAACTGATATTTCCTAACCATGTATTTCCATTCAAAAAGACAGTATTACCTTTTCCTGTGTATAAGAATATTGACTTACTTAGAAATATCTGAAAGTTTTTGCTAAGACATTTTATGATGTTTCATCTTTCTTACATTTGCTCTTATTTCAAAAAATTTTATTAAAAGAATATTAAGAACTTTCCAAGTTTGGCTTTAAACACAGCCTAATTACCTTACAATCCAATAACCAAGCTCAGTTATTTAATTTGTGGCAGGTGAATTTGATATCTGTAGCTAAAAAGAATGAGGATTGTGAGGTGCTGATCTGCTGGTGCATTT